CATTTTCTACGGTGCTTTCCTATGCCCAAATAACCATCCTCCACCAAATGCCAGCTAAATCCATTCATTATTTTGAGCCCAGCTTCAACATTCGTATTTATGTTCAGTGTTGTACTTTGCAAATCAAGTACCACCTAGGCTCCTCCTTTTGAGCTGAAAATTTATGAAGACAGTCTCCTTAGTAACTGGTCATCCTCATCCAAAACTCACGCCCATTAGCCATGTGCATTTCCCGTACCACTAATCAAACACTTGGCTGCTTATTCATGTTTGAGCATCGATCGGTCTCCTCGTGAGAATCTTATGTTGTGATTTTCTTCCTAGCACCTACCTGGGGAGTGCCCAACCCACTAGACATGCCTAGGCCATCCAGAACAAATGGCAACGCCACAGTCACACGGTGACCACACGGCGGGCAGGCGAGTTTACGCGCTCTAGAGTTGGGGCCCTCGACCATCGTCCAAACCTCGACGTATCGCCACCAAACCATGTATTTATGATTAAATAGGTACTTATGTACCTATAAATGATTTTTAGAAAAAATAAATAGCAAACTATGAGGCAGCTGCAGTTCAAATTTGACCCGCTTCCAGCTGAATCGGCGGGAATTTGTACTTTTCACCAGAGGTGGATCAAAAACTTTTGACACCCAACCATTTTGTCAATTGTGCATTAAATATGTCCTAGTATTTTAGAAAATTGATCTGGTCCAATTTTACAACAAATATATGGTAGGTCCTTCACAAAAAAACTCATTCCAAGCACTCGGAAAATGGAAAATGAATTTTCCGTGCAAAGAAAATGAAAACTCCCTTAGGCAACATTGTTTGGAATTCCAAGATGCACCCTTATGCACAATATGAGATTATTTAAACAAACTATGTCATGAATGTGGCCATAGGATTGATCATTTGGCTTGAAAGCCATGAATCTTCATTCATGATAGCTCATTTCTGAGAACACTTTTTGAAAATAATTGTCGTATTACAAGTTTATTATTTTTCCTGGAAACTTGGTCACATATAATGACACAATGCGAAGGTTTTGCAATTTTTGATTTTTTTGAATTTTTTATGCCCGTTTCAAAATGCGGTCAAAACGGCGGGCTTAACCGTTCCAAGCTAGTGGTTGAATATTGAATTTTTTTTGATGTTTCTCTGATTAAATAGATACTTATGTACCTATAAATGATTTTTGCAAAAAATAAATAGCAAACTATGAGGCAGCTGCAGTTCAAATTTGACCCGCTTCCAACTGAATCGGCGAGAATTTGTCTTTTTTATAGGTGGATCAAAACTTTTGACACCCAACCATTTTATCAATTATGCATTAAATATGGCCTAGTATTTTATAAAATTGATCTGGTCCAATTTTACAACAAATATATAATAGGTCCTTCACCAAAAAAACTCATTTCAGGCACTCAGAAAATGGAAAATGAATTTTCCGTGCAAAGAAAATGAAAACTCCCTTAGGAAACATTGTTTGAAATTCGAAGATGCACCCTTGTGCACAATGTGAGATCATTTGAAGAAACTATGCCATGAATGTGGCCATAAGATTGATCATTTGGCTTGAAAGCCATGAATCTTCATGCATGATAGCTCATTTCTGAGAACACTTTTTAAAAATAATTGCCGTATTAAAAGTTTATTATTTTTCCTGGAAACTTGGTCACATATAATGACACAATGCGAAGGTTTCCCAATTTTTTGTTTTTTTTGAATTTTTTATGCCCGTTTCAAAATGCGGTCAAAACGGCGGGAATGACCGTTCCTAGCTAGTGGTTGAATATTGAAATTTTTTGATGTTTCTCTGATTAAATAGATACTTATGTACCTAGGAATGATTTTTGGAAAAAATAAAGAGCAAACTATAAGGCAGCTGTAGTTTAAATTTGACCCGCTTCCAATTGAATCGGTGAAAATTTATCTTTTTCACCAGAGGTGGATAAAAACTTTTAACACCTAACTATTTGGTCAATTATGCATTAAATATGTCCTAATATTTTATAAATTTGATTTGGTACAATTTTACAACAAATATATTATAGGTCCTTCACAAAAAAAACTTATTTTGTGCACTCACAAAATGGAAAATTGATTTTTCATGCAAAGAAAATGAAAACTCCCATTGTCAATATTGTTTGCAAATCCACGATGTAAACTTGTGCAAAATATGATATCATTTGAAGAAACTGTGGCATGAATGTGGCCATAAGATTTATCATTTGGCTTGAAACCCATGAATCTTCATGCATGATATCTCATTTCTGAGAACATTTTATAAAATAATTGTCGTATTACAAGTTTATAATTTTTCCTGATAACTTGGTCACATATAATGACACAATGCGAAGGTTTTCCCATTTTTTTTGATTTTTTTTGAATTTTTTATGCCCTTTTCAAAATGCGGTCAAAACGGCGAGAATGACCGTTCCTAGCTAGTGGTTGAATCTTAGAATTTTTTTGGTGTTTCTCTGATTAAATAGATACTTATGTACCTAGAAATGATTTTTGGAAAAAATAAAGAGCAAACTATAAGGCAGCTGCTGTTCAAATTTGACCCGCTTCTAGCTGAATCGGCGGAAATTTGTCTTTTCCACCAGAGGTGGATAAAAACATTTAACACCTAACAATTTGGTCAATTGTGCATTAAATATGTCCTAATATTCTATAAAATTGATTTGGTACAATTTTACAACAAATATATTATAGGTCCTTCACAAAAAAACTTATTTTGTGCACTCGAAAAAAGGAAAATTGATTTTTCATGCAAAGAAAATGAAAACTCCCTTTGTCAATATTGTTTGCAAATCCATGATGTAAACTTGTGCAAAATATGATATCATTTGAACAAATATTTGATAGGACTTTCATAAAAAAAACTCATTTTGAGCACTGAAAAATGGAATGAAATTTTTTATCTTGAATCGATCACGACCAATTTATATGATCATAAGATCATCAAATGGTTTGCTGCGTTCTGATTGGACCATGAGCATATCACGCGGATCACGCATCAACCACCGTCGGATACTTCCGGATCCAACGGCCCAAACCCACCCGAGCCAAAACCCTAGGTCAGTCCTCATGGACATTTTCTACCCAGCCCCCCGCCTCCATTCTTTCTCTCCCTCCCTCCCCCGCCTCCACCAGCGAGCCCCTCTTCTCTCCCTTGCTCCGATCTGGTGGAGCCGCCGCCCCCAACCTCTCTCTCCGACTACGATCCGCCGCCGCCTCCAACTGCTCCCACCCCACTCCTCTTCCCCTCCTCCTTGGGTAGCCCAGTCGTCATCGCGACCGAGGACCAGAGACGCGTGCGGGAAGCTCAAGGCGGAGGAGGAGCAGCGGTGGCGGCGGCGGCGAGTCAGGGCGAGGCCAGCACCGAGGACCAGATCTCGCTCCTGCCGCCTCCCGGGGATGCCCGCGCGGGCCTTCGGCGGAGCTAGGCCCCGCGCTCCTATTCGTTGGCGCCTGCGCTTGGGAGAATCGAGGGCAGGTTGTGCGCGGCCCTCGTCAGCCGCATCTGCTAAGGTGGTGGCCGGGCCGGCGGCGGAGGTGGCGGCCCGGCTGTGAGGGGAGGTCACGTGGTGAGGACCGATGGATCCACCGGAGAGGACGGGCGTGGCTCATACAAGGGGGGAGGCTCTTACAGCGGGAGGACCGGCGAGGGTGGGCATGGCTCATACCAGGCGGGAGGCTCTTGCGGCGGGAGGACCGGCGAGGGTGGGCAGGGCTCATACCACAGGGAAGGCTCATACGGCGGGAGGTCCGGCGGAGACGGCGCCGGGCATGGGCATGGGCATGGAGGGAGCGCACGTGGTGGGCGTGGCGCCGCCTGAAGAAGGTGCGTCTCGTCTCCCGTGTTACATGTACCCTTCTGTGTTGCCAAAGTACCTGCTGCTGCTTGCGTTCTCAGATTCATGTTGGTTTGAACAGACGCTTGATGAACGTGACCTGGTGGAGGCCCTCGAGGAGCTGCATTACCAAGTAGAGGTTCGTGATTGACCATTCAAGCTTGCTTCATTGTGCTGATTGTTTCTGCTATTTCCGTTTTTCTGACATGCCTGGAGTAATGTTGCTGCATCTTTGCTGCGTGTCAAATGCTGGTTGCTTGATACTGCTATAAATTCTCGTTGCTGTGTTGTTTTACTAGACTGATTTATCTTAGATCCTTAGCCGTTATGTTCATGAAACTGGAGATGGCTTGATTGTCTATATTGGGTTGATGATCTTTGGGAGCTGCAGTACCAAATTGAGGTTCATGATTAACGACTGGAATTGCTAATGTCGTCGATGCTTTTTTTGTTTCCCTGGCTTGTCTCACTTGCTACTTTTGTTTTCATGATGTGTGGCTCGAGTAACATTTCTGCATGTTTGCTGTTTGTCAAATACTGGTTGCTGAAACTGCTATAGGCAGTAGTACCTGTGTTGTTACCTTTCTGATTTATAGATGCTTAGTTGTTTGCCTGTTTGTTATGTTTATGAAACTGGAGATTCCTTGATTGTCTCAATTAATTGGGTTGACGATTTTAGGAGCTGGAGTACCAAGTTGAGGTTCATGATTAACCACAAGAATTGCTTGATTGCTTGATTGCATTTCACTTCTGTACGTTGGACTAGCTAGCTAGGATCAACCCTGCATTCAAAACTATTGTCGTTATTAGTACTAGCTTGCTAGCTTCACTCTGCTGGCATTTATGTTTATTTGACTATATATCCTGTTTAGGTGTCGCAACCTAGGATCGTAGTTCTTGCCCCCGTATCATGGCTTTAGGGTACTAATACTGTATGTATGGTTGCAATGCAACTCTTTTGGGTAAGAGGTTGGTATTGAGAAGTGAATACATTTTATTGACGCGGTTTCTGTTCTGTGGATCTAAGTAATATCTGTGGCAAGTAGGAGCCATGCTAGTAAATGATTTCTGTGCCCTGATCTGGTCTGGGGTAGAATTGCAGATTGGCAAGGCCGGTGGTGAGAAGTGGAAGTCCTGAGTGATGATGTAAGTTGCCCGTCTCCCCCCTCTCTGTTACCACTCGATCATGTGTTGGTCACTTCCTTCTGTCTTCAGTGTTTGCTCGGTGTCGTGATGACAATGTGATCGCCCCTGTGTTGGTTTTCGTGTCAGTTTGGCTAGTGCTCCACCTAGTTTGTCAGTTAGATTTCGAATTCAGTCGCTATGCAATGGCTGATCTACTGCCTGTGCTCAATTCGGTCGTATAAATCAAATATGATTACTGCTGGCTGTGGAGGGGCTTTTTTCTGGAGCAATCAGTCAGTAGGAGGGGCTTTCTGCTGCTTGTTTTTTGCTTCAGTTGGGTACATGAATCTCTGGTTATAAGGATTTCAGAGCCAGGACTTGTTCTGAATCTCTGTTTGTTTCATGATGCTAGTCCGCACTTGCAGTATATACTCCTAAGGTTATGCATGCCTGATCAGTACCGGTGTGAGATGTTGATTCATGTATCCGTGTTTGGTGCGACATTCATGCACCTCGTCGTGTGTAATTATTCTGTGTGTACGAGACCTACGGTATATACTTACCAGTATTGTCTACTGTGATTGAGTATTTATTGATTGTGCTCCGACTGCGTATTATTTACCCATTTGCATCTTCTTAATCTAGCATCAAAGCCCCCCCAAAAAACAAATAATCCTTTAAATCCTTATTTGTTCTATATGTATGTACTGTTGGCTGACATACTTACGTGTTCTTTTTTGTGGATTAACAGAGGAGGAAGCAAACTTGCTGAAGCAAACTTTCCCAGCAAGAACGGATCCCTCAAGGTAACCCCAATGTCTTCCAGTTTGCACTTTGCTCATCAACAATACTGATCAATCGATAGGTAGATGCTGACCCTCTCTTTTCGTGATGTATGGCTATTGCAGCTGGACGAATGGGTGTTGTGCCGGATGTACAACAAGAAGAACAACTGGGGGAAGGTCAAGGTGGAGCAGGACATGGCCGTGGAGGCATGGCCTGGACGCTCGTCAACCTCGGCCACTTCGTGGTACCCGCCTCTCCCCCTCCCCTCCCTCCCTCGCTTACACGTCCTTGACTCCCATGGATCTGAAGGCTTGCGGGTTGTGTTTGTTTACCTCGATTGCTTGCTTCGTGCAGTCAGGAATTGGGGTAGATTGTTCGCATCTTTCCACCCTTCGCCTCCCCTAGCTACAAATGCTACGACACATTCGCCAATCCTGCCAACTAATAAAGTGTATTCTAGTTTGAAGTTTACTGTTTCATAATAGCCAAATAAATAGCCTGCATTTAATCATTCTTTTTCTACTTTAAATATAATAATGTAGTGGCAAAATTCATGAAATCATTATGGCAGTAAATACTGCAGTTCTAGTTGGCCCAACCTCAATTCTGGAAGTACAAATTATTGCTATTTTTCTCATTAGATTATAGCATGAAACATACTATGAGAAATTATTTCTCTATTGTCATTGCTTTCCTAATTGAATCTTCATTTCAGATTACATACCACTTCTTCCACTGGAAGAAGGGAACTCCATTCGCTGATGATCAGGGGATGTATAATAGATTGACTTGGTGGGAGCAAATGGACAACGGCAAGCAGCTTACTCGCAACAGAATTTTTTTTGTTGTGGTTCCTGTAGTCCTGTATGTGTTATTCTGTTTCAATTTTATTAATACTGCTTTTGGGAGCTTACTTGGCAAGGAACAACATGGCAGGATGTATGCACAAAGATTGATTCTGGCTAGTCAAATACTACACTTATTCATTAATTATGCAAAGAACACTTGTTAGTAACATCTAGGTCTAACTTGCATATTCACGCCATTATACATGTGTAAGGATTGGGCATTGCTCTATTGCTCTATTCACACCATTATACGTGTGTAAAAATTGTTCAATTAACTTCATTATCATTAATAATTGATTATTCACTTTTGGTTAGTAGTAACTTTAACTTGGCGGCAAACTGGTTAAATACTTGGCTGTGATCACGTTTGTGGTTGGTGTGCGAGCAAGCAAAATCAGAAATGATCCGAACTGATCATATTATTTTTGCGTTTGCTAGAATTGTCCATGGACATTTAATCTGTTTTGTGTATAGTAGGTAAAATAGCAGAGTACACCAATTACCATTTTGTCTGCTGATAAACACTTCCAAAGACCTTTTAGCACAGAGTTCATATAGTTACATAGTGCTTTTTAGCTTATGTATCATACAGTTATGCAGTGCTCCCTACACTGTCTGTTTACTATATATATCATTCATGTATTCTTGGATAGTGCAGACTACATACCATGGCGAATTAACCACAATTTTCCACAATTTGCAGCGGCCGTGCTCCACCAGCTATTTTTTGGTTCTTGCAATCAGGGGACTTCCTTGCAAGACAGGGCCCGCCCTCTTTTGCTTCTTCTACTACCTACTGTTGCTGCTGTTGCTGATTGGTCTATGCACAATTGATAATCCATCAATGTTTATTTGCTACTTCTGTAGTAGCTGATATGCTTGATGCGTGTATCTCTATCTCCTTACAGCTTTGCTAGAACCATAAATCCTGATGCCTGATGATTATGGTCTGGTTTGCTAGATCTGTTCTATTGGTGCTTAAAATTTGACATGCCTGGATTCTGAACTTTTCATTTCTATGATCAATTTAGTTAGAGTTGCACATGTCAGTATACTATATACCAAAAAAACCGTAGCTAGTGAGAACATTTCACTCCATGAACATATACTGGTTAGTGTTAGTCATACTATTTATCTACATGGCATTTCCTGTCAATTCTTGCTTATAAGTTATTGGATTCCTCATTGGCTATTGTTTGATGTTCTGTACACATTCTTATTCTTATATTTTCATTCTTATCCTTTGCATAGGTGAAGTGCGAATCAAAGTCCGAAGCTGTGAAGCATATCAACAAGTAGTAGCATATTATGTGTTGTAATTGTAGGCAGTAGTAGGCATATCTGGCTTGTAGTATACTGTAATGATTATAATAGACTAATGTATTGTTGTTTTGGATCAATTTTGATTGCTCTCTGGTGTAATAATTATTGTGTATGTGGTTTGAATACATGTGAAATGGAAACCTGACAATGGAGTCCAAGATATAATGGTTGTTTGGCAAAGTTAAATTTTTTGATGTGTGGGACCAATTTTGGGATAAGCATGACAAGTAGGACCAATCTGTGGTGGGACCAGCTGCAAAATAAAATGGCTGAAAATAGAAAATCAATAGACCGGCAAAAAGGCCAAGCCCTAGAAAATAAAAGGCCAAATTGTTGGGCTAGGCTCATGTAGCTAGAGAAAATTAACAGAAAATATATCTTAAAAAGGCTGAATTAGTGGGCTCGGCCCATCTAAAGCACTGAAATGGATCGGGCTGATTGTAAGTAACGACATTTTCAATTGGTCATAGTTTTGCCACGTCAGATTGCCACGTTGGATCCGACGTGGCTTGGGCAGACAGCCAGTGACCAAAACAAAAGGTCATGCGTTCAATGACCTTCTGTTTTGGTCGTAAACGTCTACGACCTTCTCACAGAGAATGTCATTAATTTCAATTTACGACTGCCAGCTTTTGACCTTCTGTTTTTGGTCACAACAAGGTTGCAAATGAAAAACAGTGACCTTTCAGTGACCAATAGTCAAGGTCACAAGTGGACATATTTCTTGTAGTGAGTAGCTAGAGAAGTAGAGGCTTTTAGCACATATAATTGAAACTTGGGTTTCAATTCTTGGCTACTGCCCCTGGAGGAGTGGTGGCGGCGGCGGTGCCTAGTGTTCTAGGGTTTAGAGAGGGGCATCCATGTCGTGCTTTTCTCGGAGAGGAGCCATGGGCGGCATTGGTTGCCATGTGCCGTTTTGTGTAGATGATAGGCTTCTGCAATGGGAATGATTATCCATCGTCTGTGGTTGCGCGAACGCCTCCACACGCTCAAGTTTATCGATGGTGGTTGTAGGATCGGCTCCCCTTCTGAAATGGTTGAATGGGTGCTTTCGAGATACGCTCCTAGAGCCTTGGTGTCGTCTAGGGCGTGATTTCGTTGTCCACAATTGAGCGGGCAAACCGCATCTTCCAGGGCTGGCGCGCTCGTCCTGAAGATGGTGTGCTGGCGGGAGCTAGTAGCTAAGCTAGCTAACGTGATCGACCGAGGACGAGAGCGTCCCATCGTATCACGTTGTCACGATACATGACTATTGTTTCTGACATTTAGGATCATTGATGTAGTACTTCTAACTACTTGTCATTCCCGCGCTGGAACAACCATAGTGCTCGACCGTAGAATCGCGAGCATTTTTTTAGCTCTGATATGACAGCGACGGTTGAGGGTTTCAATTCTTGGCTACTGCCACTAGCAGCTAAGAAGTTGTTATGATGCTGTTAGTGAGCCCATTTTTGGTAAATTTCAGAAAAAGAAAACACAGATAGACAGAGAGTTGTATCTCATCGAAAAGGGGGGTGTTTGCCTTTTATAGTTTTAATTATTGTGCATCTGATGCCAAAGGTGGAATGGATGTTTACTTATTGTGTTCTGGAAGATTCTAAGCTGGTTCAACTTTTGGATGTGGGAATAGATAAAGTGTTCCCCTGGACTAAACTTTATGTTTCCTTTTTAGTTGTTATTTTGCTTGCCATGTGAACTCTATGAAAACTTTATGTTTACTTTTTGGATCGTTAATCCTTTAATCATATTGCTTTAGGGAAATGGCGCCACCACCACTACCACCATGTCGACGGTGCAAGTCAAGGTGCGCCAGCAACCTTGCAACTGGCACGCTGTTTGGCATCTACTTCGAGTCTAGTTTTCTTCATGCGGCGATAATAAATTATATGAAACTAGTAACTACTATTTTGTTTTTTGTGTTATTGGCATTAATGCATCATGTATATATCATTTTGCTTTTTGTACACAGATCGCCCCTTGCAATGTGAGGTCAGAATTCAACAATCTGACTGGAGACTCTGTGACCTTTGAGGCTCCTGGGGCCCCTACACTATGGAGATCAAGAAAGGACGAAAGATGATGTGGGTGGGAGGAGATAGATGGGTCCGTTTCATGGACAACATGCGTATCACCGGTGGTGAGTTGATCAGCTTCTCTTTTAGAGCTGAAAGACCCAAGCTGGCCGTGATTTATGTCAACGAAGAAGAAGATTATGAGGATGATGCGGATGATGACGGCCCACTCGGTGATGTCATTGTAGCTCAAAGAATGAAGTTGAGCAAGGAGGAGGTGTGCAACCTATGGGACATCATTCCCCCACGTGCTGACTTCGTCGGGGTGCCATTCGTGACCCGCCTTACAAGTACCATGGTTGATCGGCATATCATGGTATGTTGCATTTACGGTAGTTTTTAGAGTAATTTGATGATATGCTTTATTGTTATACTTAGTGTAGAGTCCGATGATATATATGCTTAGTGAATCTTATATGCTTTATTGTTATACTTAGTATAGAGTCCGATGATATATATGCTTAGTGAATCTTATATGCTTTATTGTTATACTTAGTGTAGAGTCCGATGATATATATGCTAAGTGAATCTTATATGCTTAGTGAATCTTATGTGCTTAGTGAATATTATATGCTTTATTGTTATACTTAGTGTAGACTCCGATGATATATATGCTTCGTGAATCTTATATGCTTATTGAATCTTATATGCTTAGTGAATCTTATATGCTTTATTGTTATACTTAGTGTAGAGTCCGATGATATATATACTTAGTGTAGAGTCCGATGATATATATGCTTCGTGTAAATTGCCAAAGAGCCTATCTGAGAATTGTGGTATCAAGCCCGATGAAGAAGGCTCTGCTGGAATACGCCTTACCGCAAGGGGCTCCATCACCACTTGTGCGTACGGCGTGGACACGGACGGTCGCACACACTTCAACTCGGTTGGGTGGAAGAGCTTCCTCGTCGGCAAGAATCTTCATGTTGGACAGGCAATCCTAATTACTATCAGGAACACCCACCGCCCAGGCTTGAGGATGATGGTCGTCATCGACATCATCTAGAACTGCATATGCATGCGTGTGGCTGTTGAACCATATATATGCTAGTATGACTACCTAGTAGACTTATCAACTATGATCTATCCATGCATTGTTGACTACTATATGAGTTTGTGAGATTGTGTGGTTATATTAAATGTGGTACTGTCGTTAATGTTTGTGAGATGGTTCTGTGAACTTAGTTTATTTGCACCGGACTTGTCTTGATTTCCATGAATATTGCACCTGACTGCTTT